AAGAAAGAAAGAAAGAAAAGAAAAAACCCAAGCTGAAGAGAAAACATCTATTATCCATTTGAAAAAGTAAACAGTCACAAAATTATGCAGGTAATTAAAATTACGTACATTAATAAACATACATACAATATTTTGCACCCCCCAGCCCCAGAAAAAAAAAATCATATTATAAATATTTAACAGTTTTAAGTATGTAAAACCAATACAGTAACTGTCCTTTAAGGCCTTGAGAAACATGTCACAAGCACAATCCACAAAGCACTAACTCACATGATTTTGTTTCTTTGGGCTTCTGAAGCTGTGTTCATATAAAGTCTTGCTTACTAATAGGTCATAAAAGGACTTACTGACATAAACAAATGCCAAAATTGTTCAAAAGGTCTTCAATTATGTTAAATATATACAATGTCAAATTTTAATAAACACCTTTTGTCCTAAGAGGACAATAAAGTCAGAATATCAAACACATTTGATTTTTATTAAGACCACTTCTAATATCCTTAAGGACATTAGGATGTTGACAACATGTCATAAAGAATTCACAACTTGAAGGTACTACAGACACATCACATGATTTTGTTTCTTCAGGCTTTTGAACCCATGTCCACATAAAATATTACCTTGACTGTTAAAGACTTACTGACATAAATTAATGCTAGTAATCTGGTTAGTTAATAATAATTTTCTGTCTGTACAAGTTAGTCGTTATACTAATAAGAACACAGCCTCCTCCAGTCACATCCCCTGGGCCTTTGTATCGACGATACCTAATTAGTACCTCAAATCAGGTGTTATGGGTCACAAGGAAACAAATGAGACAGACATTATCAATTTTTATATTAAAAAGATAACAACTGTTCGTTTTGGTAAAAAAAAAAAATTCCTGATGTAAACAATGATTTCCCAATACTTAACAATGGTTAATGAATTCATTCCAACATTCAATGTTAGTCCATGTTTTTTTTGTTTTTTTTTTTTTTTGTAATTATCTCTTAATCTAGTAGGAGCAGTTGTTTTTCCTTAAACAATAGTTTTTCCGGGGAACAATTTGGAATATTAATATTCATCAACTTCAAACCTCTATATCCACAGGGACTGAGTTAACCCCTACTTTGCCAAAACAACAAGAGACCAATACAAAGAAAGACGGACTCCATTCTTATGTAAAGTTAAGAAATACAGTTCAAAATACAAGTTACATATTGTTCAGTTCCCATGTCTGATGATATATCCACAGGGTACGGGTATGCTACAAGTGGGTATACATGTAATTAGCATGTCATAGCAGGTCACGTTAGGACTTTCTTAAGTTTATATACTTAAAGGGATAATGCAGATCAAATTTCCATACAATGGTCATTGTTATCGTTAACTTGTCCTATTACTCTGAGTTGCATTAACTAGAAGCAATGGGTTGGACAAAGTTATCCTGAAGATGATCCCCCTACACTAAAAAAACAACATAAGGCAACCCTGGGTCTCAGAGATGACAAGAAATTAACGCTTTCTACCAATTCACAATACAAAATTTCATCATATTTAGTTATAAGTCTAACACACTGAAGATACTGTTAGAATAATACAAGGATTTTTTATTCCAAGAACATGCAAATATACCTTCTAAATAGATAAAAATCTAAACACAACAGACCTGCAACAATTTAACATCAGCCTCATGTTTCATGCCATCATGCATGCTAGTCCAGCCAGAGTGTTATTCTTCCATAGAAGGAATCATATGGCATAATACAGACAATGCACTTCATATTCCTGGTCTGAGTTACTCATCACCAATAAGAGCATGACAATACCAAGTGGCTTCTAAAAACCACATGACAGCCAGTAAATGTACATGTATAAATTTAGATTCAGAAATGAGGGTGGAAATAGTGAGCTAGTCTGTGCAAACTCCATGCGCAGACAGAGCACTCTGAAAGAAATATGGCTTAACAGATGTAGCAATTTTTATAAAGATATGCTAGTAATGAGTCGATATGTGCTCAAAACGGGCAGCTTCTGGAATTTATCTTGGAAAAGAGTAGAAAACTTAAGATCTTATAACTTATAAATTCTAGAATATTCATGATTGTAATCATATTTATGATTATGTATAGTGTCAGCTATCGGGGGGGGGGGGGGGGGAA